AGGGAAGGAAGGACGGAGGGAGGAAGGGAAGGAAGGAAAGAAAGAAGAAAGGACAGAGAGAAGGAGGAAGGGAAGGAAGGAAGGAAGAAAGGATGGTTGAAGGGAAGGAAGGAAGGGAGGGAGGGAGGAAAGAAAGAAGGATGGAGGGAGGAAGAGATAGGAAGGAAAGAAGGAGGGAGGGAGGAAGGACGGAGGGAGGGAGGGAGGAAGAGATAGGAAGGAAAGAAGGAAGGAGGGAGGGAGGGAGGGAGAAGGAAGGAAAGAAGGAGGGAGAGAGGGAGGAAGGGAGAAAGGGAAGGAAGGACGGCAGGAGGGAGGGAAGGAAGGAAAGAAAGAAGAAAGGACAGAGAGAAGGAGGAAGGGAAGGAAGGAAGAAGAAAGGACAGACGGAGGGAGGGAGAAAAGAAAAAAGGATGGTTGAAGGGAAGGAAGGAAGAGGGAGGGAGGAAAGAAAGAAGGAGGGAGTGAGGGAGGAAATGAGAAAGGGAAGGAAGGATGGAGGGAGGAAGGGAAGGAAGGAAAGAAAGAAGAAAGGACAGAGAGGAGGAGGAAGGGAAGGAAGGAAGAAGAAAGGACAGACAGAGGGAGGGAGGAAAGAAAGGATGGTTGAAGGGAAGGAAAGAAAGAAGGATGGAGGGAGGGAGGGAGGAAGGAAGGAAGGAAGGAAGGAAGAAGAAAGGATGGAGGGAGGAAGGGAAGGAAGGAAGGGAGGAAGGAAGGAAAGAAAGAAGGATGGAGGGAGGGAGGAAGGAAGGGGAATTCTGGGAATTAAAATCCACCTTTCTTCAAGCTGCCAAGTTGGGAAATAGGGTGTTAGAAGGTTATAGTCTGTTTGTGGCTTTACTTTACTATAGTCTGGCAAGATTCTGTCCATTAGCAAAGAAAGGAGTTAGACTCAATGGGATTTCACTGGGACTTCTATGGGTTTGGCCTCGCGCGTTGCCAAACCGTAATGTGTAACCAAAAGCTAGCGTGAAGCCACAACCAACCAAATCTACCCTCCTGTTTTGCCACGTGGACCTAAAGCCCGAAACTAGCCACTCTGGGGTTTCAGGCAGAAGTCCTTCCCAGCAAGATGAGGACATATTGAGTTGGAAATCTGTGATATTTCCCACCCCCCCTTACCAAGTCTACCTTGCAAAGAAATCAGCTCCACCCACCCCAGAGCTAAAAACACGCGAACAGCAACGTTTTACACAGATTTTATTTTTTAAGGGGGGGGCTGTGAGTTACAAAGAAATATCACCCAAGCCGGAAATCTCGCCCTATACGTCTCGCCGCACTCACCTCATCCGAGACTTTGAACCTTTTCAGTAAAGCCACAAACTTCTGCTTAATATTTGGCTGCTGTGAAAAAAGAGGGATTGTTTGCCAGTTAGGAAAAGGGCCGGTCGAGGGACCGAGAGAAGCAACGCGCACGGGCCAAAGAGCCAGGTGCAAAGCACAGGATTCGGGACACGCGAAAGCCGGTATAATAATTGGTATAAGGACTTAAAAGAGTTCCCGTCTAGCCCTAAACTTTGCTAGGATAGAACAGAGCTGGGAGGGACTTTGAAGGTCTTCTAGTCCAACCCCAGGAGTCCCTGGACCATTCCAGGCAAGTGGCGGCCCAGCCTCTTTTTAAAAGCCTCCGCCCGCAAACTTCTGGTGGCAAGTCGTTCCGCTGCTTAATTGTCCTCCCTGTTCGGGAGTTTCTCCTCAATTCCAGGTTGTTTCTTCTCTCCTGGATCAGTTTCCCTCTTTTGTTCCTTGTCCTGCCTTCAGGTACTTTAGAGAATAATTTGACCCCCTCCTCCTCTCTGTGGCAGCCCCTCAAATACTGGAGTGCGGCTATTAAGTCACCCCGTAGTCAGCGGAACACAGGAATGTGGGCGACAAGAAACGTCCGTGGGAGGGAGAGACCGTCTTGTCACCGACTGCATGAAGCCACAACCAACTTTCCTTCCTTCCTTCCTTCTCTCCTGTTCTATTCCTTCCTTCCCTCCCTCCCCCTCTATTCCTTCCTTCCTTCTCTACTCCTTCCTTCCTTCCTTCCCTCCCTCTATTCCTTCCTTCCTTCCCTCCCTCCCCCTATTCCTTCCTTCCTTCTCTATTCCTTCCTTCCTTCCCTCCCTCCC